CCCCAAAACCCCAAAACCCCAAAACCCCTAGCTAAATACTCAAGTTTAATATTGGCAATCAATCTTAGTATTGAATTAACCGCATTATCTATTTATATTCTTGGCTGTATTCAATGCCGTAAAGAACAATCAACTAACTAGCTTAGGTCTAATTTCATCAAAAGCATATGATTCTTTGTATTCTTCATCATTACTGTAAATCTTTAAATTGACATAGGTATCAAGAACTGCTTTCTTCATTGCATTAAATGATCTTTTATATATCCAGTATTGTCTTGCCAATAGCTATCCGATAAATATGCTAGCCCCATATATCAAAAGCTTTGATGGGATTCTTATTAAAGCGTTAAGATATGGATTCTTGCTCTTTGACAAAGTGAACAAGACTGAATTTATGATAGCACTATATCTATATGGCAAATATAAACTTGCACCTAAGAATATAACACCATGCATAGATCTATGAATTTTAAATCTAAAAGATGTAATTTTGCTATTAAGATTGCTTACTTTCGAGGACTAGTCTTCAAATGATAATTGTACTAGTTGAGGAAAGTTATGACCCCAAAGAACACAAATTAAGATTTATATTTCATGATTTACCCATCCTTCATTGAGTATGGCATATCTTTCCCAATATCTCTAATTTCATCACAGTTTTCCATGTTTTTTTAATAAAAATTATTTAATTTTAATGATCATTAATTCCATAAATTAACTCAAAGTAGTCTTACTGATAATTTTGAATTAAAATAGGGCGTAAATTTCAAAAATATTTGAGTTGCCAACAGAATATGTCTAAATAATCGAGTTACATATAAGTTAATTAAAAGTACCAAAGATCCAAAACTGTAGAAGACCCATCAAAGACTCAGAAAATGTTCACCTACGCCAACAATGGAGTTATTGATCCCTATAAAGATATTAAGGTCGATAACTTCTACGCTAATAGGAAAGATTAATTCACTTTCTTCCTCTCTCATATGCATGAAGGTAAAGTCAATGTGATTTTTATACATACTTAGATCATTTGAGAGGGCTTTCAAGAAGAAGTGACTATGGAGGATATGCCGGTCCAGATGAAGATTGGCATTGGGGGTAAATATATACTTCTGCAAAATCTAAAGCTTTACTACTGCTTCGATTCCCTCATCTCGCCTAATATACCAAAGCCTTAGAACTTTACAAGCCATATACAATTAAAGGAATGGTAGTCACTTTGTACGAAGCAAACCACTGTCCAGGGGCTGTCATGTTTTTATTTAAGGGAGTGAAAGGAAGCATTTTGCATACAGGAGATTTTAGATTCAGACCTTAGATGCTAGATCAATTAAAGGGTGAGTAGGTAGATTATATGTATCTTGATAATACATTCGCTACAACAGATGAAGACTTCCCTAATTAAGAGGAAGCTTTTGACATGCTTAATCAAGTGATTGAAGTCTAAAGAAAAAAGGATCAAAATTTGAAGTTCCATTTATTCTGCTACACTCTCGGGAAAGAGGAGGTATTTCATAACCTTGCTTCTACTTTTGATACAAAAGTAAACTTACACAAATTACATTAATATTCTATAGATCATGATGCTGAAAGATAGAGTTACAAAGCTTAATGCTATAGGGATGGGGTCACAAAAATTTGTGACCAGAGAGGATTTTGCAAAAGACAAAACAGGAAACTGTTTTATATCAGTAAAGACCATGAAGGATCTCCCTAAGTCGTAAAATCACATAAAATTATAATTAAATTAGGAAGGAGGAGTGTGAAAAGAAGAAAAACGTGATGTTTATTTGCTTGACTGGCTGGAGAGACTAGTATAATGTCAATCACCCCAGATTTTTCGTAAATCATTAGATATTATAAAATTCTTTAATTAGAAAATACCTTACTCTTCTCACTCTAGTTACAAGGAGCTGGACCAATTCGTAAAATTTATAAAACCAGGCAAGTTAGTATTCACAGTTCATGAGCATGGCCCTAGAATGGCTTAGGCCAGAAAGAATTTTCAAAAAAAGCTGCTATCATATACTAATGAGGGAAAAGATGTTGATTATCAACCCATTGTAAGTATTACGAACATTTTTAACTCTATGAGGATAGATTTAGCAGTAAAAACTAGCTTTCAAATCTGTGACCTAGGTAGAGAATGAAACAAGGATTAAGTCCAATTAGGAATCTCCTCAATCGATCTCAATAATTGAAACGACAACTAAAAAGAGAAAATTTAAGGAAATTGATGATACAAGTTTAGTTTCAGAAATCGAAGTCAAAAGTATTGAGTCAAAGCAAAGCCTCAAAGACTTAGAACTTGGATATACTTTAAAAAAACGTAAAATTAATACTGAAACAATAGCCGAAGTCAATGGGGGTATTAAGGGATTTTTCAAGGTTAATAAGGTTCTTACTTCTGGGTGGATTGAAGTTAAAAACACCTCAGTAGATGATATTTCAGCTGCTGATGAGAGCAAAGATTTAATAAATAACCATTAAAATACTCCAGACTATGTATTAAAAGACTAATTCAAGAGCAAGTAAGATATAACCCAGTGGAATGATAATTAACTAAGGCTTGGTGATTGAAATTATTCTAATTGAAAGTTGATTGGCATTGATGATTAATCTTAGAGAATTTTAAATTAATTTACAATAAATATGTATTCTCTGAAAATTCGCTTACTTTATCTCAAGGGGTTTTGGGGTTTTGGGGTTTTGGGG